CTCTCCCCCCTCTCTCTCTCGATCTCGCCTCCCATATCTTGGTACCACCCTATGGACGGCTGGGTGTGAACTCTCTTGAACAAAAGACGAGCGAGCTTTAATGAACCCAATCTGTGAACATCTGGATCCTGTTCCTCCTTTTCTTCACACTGCATTCCCTTCCTTCCTTCCTTCCTTCCTCGCCTGTTCTTCCTGAAAATAGACAGAAAAAATCACATTATGAAGGAGGGCGGAGACACAAACATCGTCTTATCAATTTGTGTCACGACGCAGTGGAATCAGGCGCTCGTCAATTTTGGGGGTATATGGATTATTGGTATAATCTTAAAGGTTGTTCATTTGCCTTGCTTTCGATGAAAAAATATCAATTTATCTTGGATAGAAGTCGAGATATTTGCGATTGAAGAAGGTGGGATCGCCTTGTTTAGGAGATAAATATTTCCAAAACTGGCCGAAAAATGCAGATTTCTCAGATTTAATTATTACGACGAGAGACTGATTTCACCACGCTGCCTCACATTTTATTTTTACAGAATTGTAGTCTTTAACAAAAATAGTTTTTATTTCAATTTTATACAGTTTTCCAAATCCTAATTAACTTCTCATTTCTACGTTAAAATGTTTGCATTAAAACCACCCATAGTGGAGTCTGTGTTTGAAAACTTGCATGTTCATTCAATAATGTCCATGGGAAGTTTTGAAAACAAAACGAGGCGAAACAAGAGACGAGATATTTTTTAATATCGTTGTTACGGGAAAGATTTGCCGAGCATAATATTGAACAAAAACGGACAATTAACGCAACAGTATTTCAAAGAAGACAAATGCCGACTCAGCACATTTGAAAAAGAAGATAAATGTAAACAAATCAAAATATCGTTAAGTTCCTTGCTAAGGTCTGTTTTTGGTGGACTGGATTGTAATGATTATTAAATGTTTTATTTGTCATCTTAATGATTAATTCTTCAGATTCTTCTATTTTGATGGAGAAAAAAATATTCTCCTCTGTGGATGTATTGGTCATAATCAGACATTGACGGAAGAAATTTTCCTATTTATACTCTTCTTCTCCTTCTCCTCCTCCTCCTCCTCCTCCTCCTCCTC